AATAAAAAAAGAGATATATAAATAAAAATATTCCATCTTCATGGACTGTTCATGGATTAGAAGACTTAATACTGTGAAGATATCAGAGAGATCTATAAATGCAATGAAATTGCTAAAAAAATCCCCAATGTGTTTTTTGCAGAAATAGAAAAATCCATCCCCAAACTGATGTGCAATGCAATGGACTTGAAATTGCCCAAAACTCTTGAAAAAGCTAGTTTAGGAGACTCTTGCTCCGATTTTGAAACTTAGCTGCAAAGCTAAAGCAATCAAAACACTTGGTACTGGCATAAGGATACCATAATTGAGAACTCAAAAACAAACTCTTGACTGCAGAGTCGAATGATTTTTGACAAGGGTGTCAACACCGTTCAACAAGGGAATAGACAGTCTTTCCAGTAAATGATACTAAGAAAACTGAATATCCATATGCAAAAGCATGAAACTGGACTCCCTACCATACACCATATACAAAAATTTAACTCAAAATGACCTAAACATAAAACGTAAAGCTGTAAAACTTTTCTAAATCAGAAAATCTTCATAGGATTTGGGAAAAGGAGGAAAAATTGGCCTTCATCAAAATTTAAAACTATTCTATGTAAATGACACTATTATAAGAGTGACAAAACCACCCAAAGAATGGGAGGAAATATTTGCAAATCATTACCCAATATTCAGAATACATAAAGAACTAAACAACCTGATTAAAAAAATGAACCCTGAAAGCATTATACCAAGTGAAATAAACCAGTCAGCCATATGAAGGACTGAATGATTCCACTTCTATGGGGTATGTATAGGAGTGGAATGGAGTGTTTAGGGGGACTGGGGTTCTGCCCAATGGGTATGCTTTTTTTAAAAAATTTTATGTTTTTTTTTTTTTCTTGTAGATGGACAGCATGCCTTTATTTTATTTGTTCTTATTTCTATGTGGTGCTGAGGATTGAACCCCGTGCCTTACATGTGCTAGGCAAGCGTTCTGCCATGGAGCTACAACCCCAGCCTGGGTATAGCCTTTTTGACTGGGTGATGAAAAAATTCTGAAAGTGGATCGTGGTGATGGTTAAAAAACTGAGTGTATTTCATGTCACTGAACTGTATATACCTAAACATGGTTAAAAGGATCAATTTATTTACATATTACAATAAAATTATTTTATTTTGGAAGCTAGCTACAGTACATAAAAACTTAGCAGGTTTAAAAAAGCTGAACCCTACTCCTAATCCTAAACTTATTCCTAAATGTCTGAGGAGAAAGCAGGGAAACACCTCCAAGGGATTTGGCACTAATTTCTTAGAAAGCACTGTTTTATTAGAGTCAACACATATATTAGAAGAGGAGGTAAACATGGGATTAGAAGCAGGATGACTGGCTGAGAATCTGTTTAATGAACAATAAGATGCCCAGATTTCCTCCCCAGCAGAAGACAAGCCACCATGCACAGATTTAGGGCTACCTACTCAAAAATGGGAACTAAGCAAAAATTTACCTGGTCACTGGTGATAACCCCAACTTCCTTCCCCATGCCCAGCCCAAGAACACTGGTAGCTCAGCCTACACCCACCAGTTTGGAGATCCAGGAGTCTCTGGTGACCCTGATCAACTTAAGAGGAAGACAAAATCTGGTGTCTGGGTTTCTGCAAAGAAACCACCAATGAAGATGACTCTTTAATGGCTGTCCATAGCAGGTGAACTCCAATCATCTGCCCAGAGTGTCCGGTCACCCTTGATTAGACAAGCAACTGAGTGTCAACATTCAATCTCAGGACAGCCTCTTATGAATATAGCTTGTGAAATTAAAAATATGGCTACCATTTGTTTTTGATCAATATAAACAGCAATTTCACATGGCTCAATCTACATGATGACAGTAGAAATGGAAAACTCACTGTATACATTGTATGACAAAAGAGAAGAAAACTGATAGAAAACAGCAAATAGATATAGAGGTAGAAAATAAGAAGAAAAATGGATGATATCAGGAGTAGGACAGAAAGAAACAGAAGGGGAAAACAATAAGAAGAAATTCAAGAAATTTTTCTAGAATTGAAGAACATATGTTTCTAGATCAAAAGGGCTCATGAGTGTTTAGTGTGATAAATCAGACTCAAGCCAAGGTTCATCATCAAAAATTATGAGACAAAGACAACTTCTATAATCTTCCCATGAGAGAAAAGAGATTCACTGATGGATGAAGAACCAAATAGTTTTGGATCAGGCATGTGGATCTGGAGGACAGTGGAACAATGCTGCTCACTCACTGAAGCAACATGTCTCCCAAGCTAGAGCTCTAGACCCAGCTGAATTACCAACAAAATGAAGATCTAATAAGGACATGTGTCCTCTACCCAATGAGAGTCAACCTCGAAAGATGATATGGGATCAAGGAAGGAGGGCAGAAACAAAGGCAGAAACCCGAGGGGATGATGGTAAAAGACCCAGCGGTACAGCAGAGGTAGCCAGTCCCGTTGGGATCAGGAATCCAAACAGGAAAAAAGAAAGGGAGGATAAAATGGTGGCCAGAGGGGAGGTCTGGTTGTGGGATTGATGAGTTTGTGTGGGGTAAAAGATTACTCTGTTCTGTTGTTTAGTTTGCTTAGAAACCAGGCAAATAAAAATGAAACATTAACTCTAGGAAACCCAAAAACAATTGATACAGGAAAGGAAGTTTACTCACAATCCACTATGTGGCTCAACAGTGACCAATACTCGCATGGTCATAATAAATAATAGTAACTTAACCAAAAACTAGACTAGAAATAAAAGAAAAAAAGGGTGGTGGTGGGGTGCCAAGAGGATGCAACAGCAGTGAATCTTCATGTTCTGTAATAGCTAGTTAATAAAGACTAATGTCTAAATGGAAATGGCAGTAGAGGGGCTCACTCTGGAATATGGGGGTAAATACTGGAATAGAGAACTCGAGCTAAAGGATTGCCTCAGAGGGAAAATGGGAGGTGAGGCAGAAGCAAGGAACTGCCTTGAGCATTCAAAAAAACCTTCTAGGTTGAAATATGGCCTGGGTGACAGCAGCTAGAATTTCAGTGTCATTTATCATGAGATCAGATCCTCCAACCATATTTGTGGATCATGAACATGTCAACTGCAAACTATTTTGTGGCAGAGACTTATTTTATAATTAACTAGTTATAATGGTGGGAGAGGGGGAGGAAACACCAGAAGAGACTACAGAAATATACCTTAATATACTTCATGGCTAATAACAAGAATGCAGAGCTCCATCTGTGTGTAGTGAGATGAAAAGGTGACTTCAATGTATTATGGTGGAAAGATAAAATACCCAGAGATGATTTACACACACACACCCCCACCCCCTATACTTCCTGAACTACACTATTTAGGGGAGGGGATTTAGATGGAGATCTTTGCTACACACCCACAGTAACTAAGCCAGAACACGAAGAGTCACATCAAGCACTGAGAACAAGACACCATCTAGCCCTTCTCCAAAAGGCAGGTCCAACACCAGTCCAGGCCAATGAACGGAGTTTCAATCTGGTGCCTCTAAGGAGAAACCTCTTTTCAGCACAGCTCTTTTCTTTACCTCTAGGAGTGGGACAATCCCTGTCACCAAAATTTCATGAGGAAAGGAATGGTATCCTAGGTACAGTGGGATCTCACCCAGCAGGCAGGCCTGGTGTGCAGCATGGATGGTGGGGGGTGTTCATCTGTCATGAACTGGGATGCAAAGACAGACAAACAGTGAACCCTGAAGAAGCAAAACCCCAAATGGAGTCATGTAAAAATGGAACTTAAATGAAGTGAGGGTATGCTTTAATACTTAGTAATTTCACAGGAGAAAAAAAAATAAAGATTTAAGTTTCTATTTCTTTCTTTTTCTTTTTCTTTAAATCTCATCCAAATGTGACACCCCAACCCAAGCCATCCTAAGCTATCAAACCAACACTGCATTAGATGAGTAAGGATAGGCAGCACCGCCTCTTGGCTACTGCATCATACATACAGCCAAGCTCCCAGTCCTTCAGAACCAACTCCCACCCCATTAGTAAGTGAGGATTCCATGGTGTGACAGACAGATAGACAAGGAACAACAATGGAACTAACTGAAGTTTTTTTTCTCTCCATCAACAGGCCCTAGATAGCAGGGCCATGAGGAGTATACACAACAACAACAAAGGCAGAGACTGTTCCACTGCTTCCGCCTGGCCACTGGTCTCTAGATAGAAGCCCTGTCACTGTGGTCCTTGCCCCATGCCTACTGCTGTCCCCCTACCCTGGCTGGAAGGCATCAACTCAGTTATACCACCTTCAGGAAGTTATCCCTAGCCTGTATGTTGGGTTAGAAGCCACTGCCATATGCTCTTACTGCTATCAATACTATTTTTTTTGGTAGCTGTTACTGCAATTCCAGCAGGGACTTACGTATGAGTCTCCCCTAGACCAGGCTGTCTCATTCTCTGGTGTGCCCTAGCACCTAACGCATATAAGAGTGGGCACACCATTTTCAACAAACATGAAACTCCCACTGTGTTCTGTAGATTTGGGAGGAGGGGGAACCTCACCTGACAGGTTGATCTCAGTTAGAGAGTCTCGGGTGGTGGTGCCGACAGCAGTAAGCAAGTTGATGGACTGGTCGGTGACGTGGTTACAATAACTAAGGTGGAGTTTGGAGAGCAGGGGCATGTGGCGGATGATGAGCCGCAGGGAGACATCTGTGATGTCCAGCCCTGCCAGGCGCAGCTCCACGATGTTCCGGAGCTTACTCCGATTGTCCATCTGACCTGGTAGGGCAGGAAGGAAAGGGGCAACCTCTGTCAACCTGACAGGAGATCAGGTCATACTGACATGACTTTAAAAGGCCTACAGACAGATATAACAGTTAAATTTCATTTAGCCACAAAGTGCTTCCTCCTAAAACCAGAATTCTAACATTTAAAAGTCAGGAGTCTACATAAAGAGTTAATTTCCAGATTTTCTAGAAAAAACAGAAGATCTAGAAACCTGAACCAACATTTCACTCAGCGACAATCAGCTAACTGAAACAAGGTGGCCCAGCATCGCTGCCCCCAGTACCTTGGGCACCATGTAAGCTGTGAGAGTCACTGACCCAGACAGTGGACCGTGAGTGGGCTGTGCTACAAGCTCTTCTGCAGCCACCCGATCCGGAGGCTCAAAGAGGTCAAGCCAGCAAGAGGCAAGTTAATATGGAAGCAGCCAGAGTGTGCTGAACCCCAGGTGCAGAGTCTTGGCCTCCTCCTGGATCCCCTCTGTGCCCAATGCTGACTGAGAACACAGCAGCAGGGACTCTTCTCTATGTCCTCTAGAGAAGGGCTGACGCTAGAGGAGGCTTCAGAACACATGCACAGGATCCAATGGCACAAGTCACCCCATCCACAGGACCCCCTGGGCACACTTCTGGACTGGAACTTACCTGGCCTATTATCTGTAGGTGGAGACAGGAGATCCCGCATCTGGGCATCCTTTAGTCCTTCTACCCACTGGACATCCAGAGTCCGGAGCAATGGACAACTGGAGCTACAGAGGGCTGAGACTGCGATCCACGAGCAGCCCGACAGCACCAAGTCTCGGAGCCCTGGAGGGACAGGGAAGGAGTCATGGGCCAGGTGATACACAACAGCACCCATGGCTTCCCACTCGGGTCCCTGGCCCAGGGCTCACCAGGCAACCGGTTGATGAGCCAGCTCAGCTGCTTCTTGGAGATATTGGTCCAGCTGAGGTCGAGGGAGACAGGCTGTCGCCGGATGATGCCGCTTAGCATCAGGGGCGTGATGGACTTGCAGTGGTTCAAGTCGATGCGGGTCCATAACCGCTTATCGCAGCACCTGGGGACCCAGCAGGAAGGACAGCATCAGAGATGGGGGCTCATTTGGGGAGCCCCTGCATGGCCACTAAACCCAAATGGGAATCTGTTCTCTGCACCTTTCTGTTTAGCACTCATCCTGTCCACACGTGGACACCTCTGCTCTGATGGCCACAGGCCATCAGTGGAAGGAGCTGGCATCCACTCTCCATCAAGTATTTCCTGCGGGCCTTACTACATTCTCTAAACCACCCTGTAAAGCAGGTATCATGCCTATTCATACATGAGGGTGAGAACTTGGCCAATGCTACAAAGTTGATAAATGTCAAGCTGGGTCTAAAGCTGGTACTGGTACCCCTTGCTCTTAACCTAGGCTAACTCTAGGGACAAGGACTCTACTTGGTCTTTACTGAGCTGCAGGGAAGAACAGGCTGACAGGAAGTCCTTGGTGGTCAACAGTTAAGCTCTATCAGGGCTCGGCAGGAGAGAGAGTACCATGAGTGACTAGAGTGGGGATACACGCCCAAACGGGCCATTCCAGGCTGAGCCAAGCCTTAACCGAGAGCCTAACACAGGGAAGCCCCTCACCAGCGGTTCCAGGTCCTGCAGACCCGCATGCAGACACACAGGTCTTGGTGGCTGAGGTAGCTGAAGACGGCCATCCACACCTCCCTGTGCATGACATGGGCTGCCCCATCATCCAGGGGCAGCGAGTCGGGTGGGGGGCTGATAGGGGGTGGCCGGATCACGTGGCGCTCCATCTGGATGCATTTGGGCGGGGACACAGAGGGTGGGGGCCGGGAGATGACTCGGGGTGGGCTGCGCAGGCTGGGCCCCAATGGGTGCCTCAATTCCCGTGGGGTGCCATTGAGCCCCTTGCTGAAGCGGTGGGGGCGCTCACAGAGGCCCAGGGGCCGCTTGGGTTCCTCGTTCTCACTCTCAGGTTCTGACTTGATGGGCTGGTGGTTCTCATGGGCCAGGCTGCTCTCTGTCTTTTGGATCTCATGGTTGAGCTCCTTGCTCAGCTCCTTGCTCAGCTCCTTGTTGGGAAGCCGCCGTTTCCGGCGCATCTTCACCTTTTTCTTCTCCTCTGGGCCCTCAGCCCCCTCATTGCTAGGCCCAGCCGTGGGCGAGCTGGAGCGTGAGTGGTCACTCTCCCTGGTCTTGGGGGGCGCCTCAGGCAGATCATCCTCTGGTTCCTGCTTGAAGCGCCGGAGGGGCTTATTGGCCATCCGGTCCTCTGAGTTTTTCCAGGATCTCCGCTACGGAAGAGAGGAGCCAAGGGCCAGTGGTCAACCCATACAGTTCCGTGGTGCCCACCCCAGAAACTCCCAACCCTTTGCCACAGGACTCATGAACCACCCAGGTGCTGCCTATACCTCTGACAGCTGGGAATAGGCTGGGAGGAAGGGGAGATGGTACCTTTTTCCTGAAAAGTTTATCTTCTTTGCCAGGTTTTAGCTGTCATGAGGAAGAAAGGATGCAGTTTGCTCGTGGGTTAGTGGAAGCCAGTCCCCTCTACATCCAGCCCCACCACAAGCCCAGACTCCAGAGCAGGGGCTGGAGGGTTGCCTTTCCCACAAATGCCATTTCCTCCTTCCCATCTGACTTTCAGTGGACCTTGCCTGCTGCTTTCAAGGAGGAAGCTGGAAGTAGAGTAAGGCCAGCTGTTCCCACCCAGCTGACATCCCACCCCAGAGAGACCCAGGGAATGTAATCACCCATCACGTTAGCCTCAGCTCCAGGAGCGCAGGCCTATGAATATCTCACAGTGGGCTGGAGCCAGGAGGTTCCATGCGCCACCTTGTGGCCAGTGAAGGCAAGGCCAGTGGGTGGAGCAGGGCCACCAGGATCCTCAGAGGTTCCGGAGGTTTCAGGGTTTCCTGGGCAGCCGCGCCTTCAGCTTTGATCCCAACCAACCAAGGCTCTCCTCAGAGAGCTCCCATAGACCTTGGGGCTAGACCTTGGGACCAGGGGACAGGGTGGGGGACAGCCCGGGACTCGAAAGTCCCCATGGCCTGGGGTGGGGTGGGGCATGGGAGCACCTGCTGCTGGAAGTAAGTGAGACTGGATCTCCACCAAGGGCTGAGGCTGCTGCCTAGAGGGGGCCTCGGCGAGAGGTGAGAGGAGGAACCGGGGGACGTTTGAAGCGTCGAGGCCTAAAGGGGGTGGGAAGAGGAGTGACTTGCTGTTTTTTTCTCCCTTCTTTTGGGATGGGCTCTCAGGACTTGGGTGACCTGCTCAGGGCAACAAGAGGCCAGGATCCCGAGTTCTACCCATTGCCCATCCCTTCCCCCACCCTCCACCCTGCACCCAGGACAGCCAGGTCAACCCTCCACTGCCCAGGGCCTGCCCATTCGTACTCGTTTGCGTCCACTCAGCTCTTGGGGCTTCTCATATTTCCTCTTCCTCCTTAGGTGTACATCGTCAGATTTTCGGCGCAGGATGCCATCAGGGGGCACCTTCTTGGGGTGCTCCTCTGACCTACGCCGGGGAGCCTCTTCACACTCACTCCTCCGCTTGACAGGCTCTGGTCCTTCCTTGTTGTCCCGGTTCATCTTCTGCTCCTTGAGCAGGGAGCCAGGCAGGTTGGAGGCATATTTAAAGCCAGGGCCACGCTTTTGCTTGTAGGCCAAAAAGAGAGAAGAAAACAACCCCACTGTATATCTTTGGACTTGCTCTTCCTCCTCCCCAGGCTGCCGCACCCCACCTGCCTGACCACCCAGGGACAGGCTGGTCCTGACAAGGCCCAGCCTGGCCCCGCCCACCCCTCTCCGAAGATCACGACTTGGTGCCCGCACTCACTTTCCCGGTCTTGCCGGCATGGTTACACTTGGGACACTCCCAGCAGTTTGGAAGTTCGTCGTTGACCACACCCTCTGACTCCTTAATCTGGAAGGACAGGCCAGGACTCAGCAGGCAGAGAAGGTTGCTGAGATGGGGCCTTGAGACACAGGGTCGCTGTGTCTTCAACCCCTCCCAAAAGCCATGTTTGTCCCATTTATATAGCCAAAAGAAAATACAGTAGTACAGAGCTGGTTGAGATGTGTAGTTCTAGGTTCAAATGCTCACCCTTCTGCCTCTGAATGGCTCAGCCATCCTGAGCCAAGCACCTCATCTCTGTGGCCCAGCTCCCTGGACCATGAGATGGAGTTTGAGTGCCCTTCTCACTGGGGTTTGAGAAAATTCAATGAGGGTAGAACAGCTCAGGGTCTGACACACGGGACTTAGAGCAGGTTGAATCCTGTGTATGAGCTGAGGCAGAAAAGAAATGACCAGGCATTTAACAGGAAGGGCTAACTTCCAAAGCCTCAGAACTCACAGCACCCCTGCCAAGATGGGTGTGTGTGACAGGAGAGAAAGGCAAGTGAGGTAGGAGACTTAACACAGAGCTGAAGGACTGTCCTCGACAGACCCTGCTCCCCCCCCCCCGCGGGTTCTGACACTGTATTGTCTTGGCACAAAGGGCACAGCCCAGAGTGGGCTCTTCCTTTCCAAGGTAGAACCTGCTGCCTGAATCAGGCAGGCACAGAGGTCACCCAGAAGGTAGTCCTGCCCTCGACACACCAAGGGAACCGGTTCCTGGTGCAGAGGCACAAAAAGGCAACCATCTGTCATTCAGGATCCACCCTCCCTGGCCTAGGCATGGTTCTCCCAAAAGCCAGGAGCCAGGACTCCAGGGAGCAGCCACCTCAGGTCTCTGCCTCTGGCCAAGGTGCAAACAGGTAGCCCATGTCTTCTGTCTGCTAAAATGCTGGGATCCCTCTGTGAGTCTGAGGTACTAGAAGGTGTTGTGGTGATGGGTTCTTTCCCCTAGGAAACTGCTTCTGACTCTTCTTGCCCTGGGCTTATCACTTGATACAGAATCTCCCGGAATCAGGGTCCTCTAGGAATTCAACATGCTACCTGCATCCCACCACATCACCAGTGCTCTCCAGGAAGGAAATCTAATCCCACCCCACCATGCCATCATCACCAGACACCCCAGGGTGGGGTGAGGAGATGCATGCCCAGTGCCCACAGGGCCACTTACCTTAAGGCATCCAGGGTGGATGATCTCATTGCAGATGGAGCACTCCATGAGCATGAGGTTAAACTTGCCCTCTTCCTCTTCCACTGTGTCCTCCTTCCCCGCCTCGCCACACACAAGACACACAGCAGTGTGGGGCAGCACTGGCTGAGGAGCCGGGAGACACACAAGTCAGCAGGAAGAGACGAAAGACCCTCCTGAGGACCAAGTCAAGGGCACTGAGCTACTCTCCTGTGCCTGCCAGGAGACTCCAGAAAGCTGGCCCAGGCACATTCATTCATCCATACACTTACCAGATTGTTACCTCTACATGCCAGTCACTCTGTAAGAGCTAGGAACATAGCAATGAACAAGACAGATCAATCTCTCTGCCATCCTGAGCTCTCAGGTAAGGAAGGCCCACAGAATGAAGAATAATGGAGTACATTAGATGGAACAAGAAATACCAGGGAAAACCAGAGGAAAAATAGAAGGGGGACTGATTTTAAATGTGGAGGTCTCCCATTTGGAAAAGACCTGAAGGAGGTGGGGTGTGAGCCTAGTCCAGATGCCCAGAGGGCTGAGGCTTGCCTCACCAGCAGGTATCAGAGCTCAGTCCACAGTATGGAGGTCCCTAAGACCTTTACAGGGAAAGGCTGTGAGGTCAAAATTGTCTTTAGAACAAAAGTTAAAAATACTTTTCCCTCTGCAATGTGTTGATTTTTGCAAGGATGGTGCAAAAGCACTGGTGGATGAAGCTGCTGGCTCCTCAGCACCAGCAGGCAGGCAGGCCCAGCTGTCCTGGGAGTTGCTGAGGACTTGGGGCCACGTGCACAATGAAAAGATCACCAGCTCCATTTAAGACTTTCTGTGATTTTATGAAAACTTCAACTCTTCAGCCTACACCTTCTCACACAGGAAGGACACACACAGCACTTCTGCACACTGAGGGACCTTACTGAAGGACATACTCATGTGGCTTATCTTGTGAGCTCAACTGACCACTTTCTCCAAAGAACATCAATTTTTTACTTGAAATAAAGACTGAATAAACCACTGGATACTGGTGCATTTTCTTGAAGACAAAAGAAGTAAAAATCTGTTGTTTCCAGGGGAGGAGGAGGGAAAAAAAATGCAGCACTTGGTACAAACAACAAAATTCAAGTATTTGAGGGAAAATGAGAAGTTTGGAAAACTTACATGAGCCATCATGAACTGGAAGGCTTCCCAACACTGAAAGGCTTTTCTGATGAGATTAGGAGTGGTATTACCAAATGTCACACATCTATCTATCTATAGATAAATAATATAATGGCATGTGCCAATATTTTGGGAAATCTGCCTCAGTGAATCAATATTTTCCAAGTGACCAATGAATAATGTTACAACATACTGCATGAGCAAGATGAGCTACTCAAAGGGCAAGAATAATGACTTGTAATGTAACAGTATGAAAAGTCCTTGATACAGTTTCAGACTCCACATTGCAACTAACCTTTAAGTAACTGCCACCCATTCTGGTGGAGTATAAGAGTATCCATGATTATGAAATGAAGGCTTTTAATATACCCCTCTCTTATCCAACTACTTATTTGTATAATGCTGGATTTCCCTCATTCTCCTTCTAAAATAACATATCCCAGCAGATGAAATATACAAGCAAACATGAAAATCCAGGTCCTTTCTAATGAACTAGACTTAAAAGATTAATAAACAATGTCTTTCTTCCTCTAGTTATTTTAGTTTTGGAAAATGTAATTGGTCTTCAAAAAATGTTATTTTGGTTAATATATAATGGGTTTTTATTTTTAAAATGAACTTTTAAAAAACATTTTTAAAATTTTCTGTTTTAATTTTATTATTTTTTTAGGTAACACAAGATTTATCTTTATTTTTAATCCAAGAAACAAGTTCCTTCAAAATTGTGACTCCTCAAAAGCTTCTATTTAAGAAGTGGAAAATGTTACCCATCTATGACAGACTCATTTGAAGCGAAGGCTTGAAATGATTTCCACCAAGTCACAGGCTGAGGTAAAGAGTTCCATGCCTAACACCTCTTAGGCTAGTCCCACGGTAGCTCCCAAACCTGTAGTGATTTTTTTTTTTTTTTTTTGGTATTTTTAGGTACACATGACAGCACAGTGTATTTTGACATATTAAACATACATGGAGTATAACATCTAATTAGGATCCCATTCTTGTGTTTATACATGATGTGCAGCTTCACTAGTTGTATATTCATGAATCAGTTTTAATTTTAAAAATAGCAAATGTCAGTAAGTAAATACCTGACATGAAAACAAGAGCTCTTTGGGGTCTTTGTAATTTTCAAGTCCACAAAGTTTGAGCACTATATACCCCTCCCTAAGGAGAGGGCCAGCTTACACCTACTCTCCTTTCTGTTCTTGCCTGGCCTCCTACACCCATTAGTACCTGCAATGTAGCAAAACTACACAGTTCTTACTTCAATTAAGCTTGGATATACTCCACCAATAAGTGTGCTGGGGATGAACCCAGCCAGGGCCTTATGTGGGCTAGGCAAGCGCTCTACCACTGAGTCACACCCCCAGCCCAAAATGTCTTTACAAAATGGCATGAATACTTGAACTCAAATAGAACACAAAAGACAAGAGCTTCATCAATTGTTCAACAAATACTTAGGGAACACTTGCTACAGCCTGATCCAAGGTACCCAGGGGCACAAGAACTAGCAGACAGCTGCTCCCCTGCAGACACCTGGGAAGACAAAGGAACATGGAAAAGTTACATTCAAGGACTACCTGAAGCAGCAGAGGCTTACTTCTGCAGGACAAGAAAGGCAGAAGGAACTTCAAGATGAACAAGGCCAGAGAAGGCTGCGCAAGAAAACTTCAGCATGGGGAGCAGGTCAGAAAATAGACATGGAAATTGGAGTTAGGGTGAAGAACACCCATGATGTAAGAAGAGAGTCTGAGACAGGGGACTGACTTGAGATGGGTGAGAGGAAGCACCAAAGGGGAAACTACTGTAGAAATTCATGAGGGAGCCCACCTGAGGCAGGGAGAGCAAGGCCCTGAAGGAAGCCACTGGGGACAGGGAGCCAAAGCAAGGAGGCTGGCACATCAAGAGAGAAGGACCACAGAAGGGGTCGGAGGCAGATAGGTCACAGGTGGGCAAAACGTGGGATACTGAAAGGCAGAAAGACTGAAAGAGCTGTCAGAAGGGCTTGAGAAGCCAGAAGTAGCCGAACAGGAGTCAAGCAGAGTCGGGGTACTCTCTACCAACATGATCAAACAGACCGGGCCTTCTGGCTGCAAAGATAAGGTGGCATACAGCACAGGTCTCCTGTGACGACTAGGTCCAGGGCAAGGGGAAGAGAAAAGATAGTCATGTCTTCACTGCCAACAGGCTAAGTTTTAGGTGATACTGTCCTCAAAGCTAACAGTCTCTATAGGCAAACCCCTTAAAATCCTGACAGAATCCAATGGGTCACCTGAACCCTCTTCTCCAGAAAAATGCACATATACACTGACAAAAATCTGTATTTAATCTAGGGGATTAATACTCAGAATAAATAAAAAACTTGTATAGCTCATCAACAGAATACCAAAAAATCCTACTAAAAAGGGGGCAAAGGACTTTAAATAGCATTTCTCCAAAGAGGATACACAAACAGCCAAGAAGTACATGAAAAGGTTCAAGGCATGGTGGCACACACCTGTAACCCAAGCTATCAGAGGCTGAGGCATGAGAATCACAAGCTGGAGGCTAGTCTGGGCAACTCAGCAAGACCCTGTCTCAAAATAAAAACTGAAAGGGTTGGGATATAGTGCTTGCCTAGCATGTTCGAGGCCCTGAGTTCAATCTCCTATGATCCCTCTCCCCCACCAAAATTCTGTCAGAAGTTATAACAGAGAAGAACCTTGAGGATATTATACTGAGTGAAACAGGCCAGTCACAAAAGACAAACACTGCATGGTTCCACTAAAATGAGGCACCTAGATTAGTTAAACTCTTAGCATCTGAAAATGGAATTGTGGTTGCTGGGGGCTATGCAGAGGGAAAAGGTCAGTAGTTGTTCAATGGCTGCAGGGTTTTGGTTTTAAAAGATGAAAACGGTCTATCCAGGCATGGTGGTGTACATCTATAATCCCAGCAACTCAGAAGGCTGAGCCAGGAGGATCTAAGTTGAGGCAACTGGGCAACTTGGCTGGAGATGTAGCTCTGGAAAAGTATCCCTGGGTTCAATCTCAATATCCCCCTCAAAAAAAAAAAAAAAAGTTTTAGAGATCAGCTACACAATAATGTGCATATATGGTTACCACCACCTTGTACTTAGACATGTTAAGGCGGTAAATCTTATGATATGTGCTTTTTGACCACAAAAACACAAGCAGAGTATGTGTGCAGGGTGAAGGGAAAATGCGGCTGGGTTTGGAGGGACATCAGTACTTAGGGAGAAAGGGCTCATCCTCTGTCAGGCTGGGCCTGCAGATGAGCTCACCAAGGCTAAGGAATCCTGCCTCTCCAGCTGAGCTGGCTTTTCAGGGAGCAGGGGGATGATCACTCCCACAGGGAGGACCACTGGGCCTCAGGGAGCAGTACTCCAGGGAAGGCAAAGTGTGTGGGCATGCCGAGAGGGAATTGAGAGCAAATCCCTTGCCAGTCCACACCAAGGTGCCAAAGGCTGCATCCACCACCTGATCCAGGTAAGGCCAGTGGCCCTGGGCCACCCTGGAAGAAATGGCAAGGCAGTCTGTAGGGTCCTAGCTCCGAGGGCTCCATATCACTCCTCTTTGGGACAACTCCCTCAGGAGGGACACTAACCTTCTACATAGACTTCTGTCTCTGAGGGAAGGCTAGGAAGAAGAACAGGCCCAGAACCTTCAAGAACTGGACCATAAATGCTGGCTACAGGGTCAGAGATAGGACAGGCTGCCCAGACAACTTCAGTGGGAGGGACTTTGAGGTTCTTGGCTACCTCAGAAAGGGAGGAGTTACAAGACCACCAGACTATGAACACACAAGAGCCTGCCGTGTGTTCAGCAATGGGGGGGTCTGAAAGGAGCCCTGGCCTGAGCCCCCTCCTGCCCACCGAAAACACCTCTTGGATGGACAGGCCAATGAGCAGAGGGTCATAAAGGGCTGAGGCAGCGGGGCAACCCAGGACCCGCGGCTAAGAGCGGCACTCACCGCGATGCACTGCCGCATGATGCAGCTCTGCTTCATCCGCCCGGGGCCCCCGAACTTCTTCATGTCCTTGCAGAAGTGGCACTCTCCGCACTCGGTCCGCAGGCAGGCCTCGCACTTGCGGCATCGCGTCCGGCGCCTGCGAGCTCCTGCTGTGGTCCTGTTGGCTGCCAATTTCACCGCGGAGGCTGGGCCCAGCTTGCCCTTGGGCCGACCCACCGCCCGGTTCTGCAGGAGAACAGACAGGATGGATGAAACGGGAGGCTACCAGGGTGGCCGGTCCCCTAGGAGAGAGTATGAGCTGTATCTCCCAGAAAGAGATGCTGAAGCCCTAAGCCCTGGGGACCTCAGAATGTGATCTTATTTAGAGAAAGGGGCCCTAGAGAGGTAATTAGGCTCAAGAAAATCATGAAGGTGAATCCTAACCCTGAATGACTGGTGTCCTTCTGAAAAGGGGGAAATCTGGACACAGGCAGACACACCCGGTGGGAACACATGTGAAGACATAAGGAGAAGTGGCCATGTGACTGCAGTCTTGTCTATAAGCCAAGAGACACTAAGTATTACGAGCCAAAACCAGAAATTGGAGAAACAAGGAAGATTCCTTACTAGAGCCTTTAGAGCAAGCTTGTCCCTGCCAGCCAACACCTTGAATTCAGGCTTCTGGCCTCCAGAACTGTGAGAGCTTAGGTCTGTTAGGACAGCTCTAGGAAACTTATAGGGACCCCCCCCCACACACACACCTCTGCTGGCAGCGCACTCTGCCTCAAGACCTTTCAGGTCCCACACCTCAGGACAGGGCCCCACACACCCCTCTTGCTTCCCCCTATCTGCAGCCAGACTGTACTTCCCCAGAAAGGCTGCATGGGGCCAGAAGTTGTCCTCTGTTCCCTGTGCCAGGAACACCAGTCCCCTCCCCACAGTACTTGGCTAATCTACACATTCTGCAAGACCAGCTCATACACTACTTTCTTCTGGAAGCCCCCCCACCCACCCACCTGTGCTGCATTCAGTGCCCCTGCCATGGGCCCTGTCACAGCACTCATGACTGGTAAGCATCTGCCTCTAGCTGGTCTTCCCTCTGAGGTGGGGCACGGGAGGGAGCTCAAACACTGCTATATTTCTGAGACGGCCTGTCACCCCAACCCCTGGGAAAACAGGAACCTGAAGGGTCCCTAAGTACTGAGACCCTCCCTAAATGGGAAAATAGAACAGGTCACAGAAGATGGTGTTAAATTCTTAACAATTAAAGAGAGCTGCAGTTCCTGCCTCCAGTTCCCACATGCTGACCCCAGCCCCAGAGCCTCCTGCAAACTCAGGAAGCATGGTGGAACTGCTAGGACACTATCCACCAAGGATCTGAGATGGGAGAGTTAGCCTGGTCTGAAGCATCCTTCTCAAGAACACGACTTTGCTGGGACACAGTCCTCTGTAGGGCACACGCTGCACTTACATCGAAACTCTCTAATTGGCATCCAATGCTAAAGCCTGTTTTAGTCAACTGACCCCCCCCTTCAGTATGGTGCTATCCTTTCAACTTTCATTGTTTATCATACTTGGAGGGGGAACCCCAATCCTTTTGTTAAAACTCCAGAGAGTTGTAACTGTACCCTGTACCAGTGAAAAGGGTCTTCCTTCCAGAAACCCATCCCTCAAAACAAACAAGTCTCCAGAGTCAAAATAAATCCCCTGGGGTCAGAGGCAATGCCATTAGTATAAAAGGTGCAACGAGAGGCACAGACAATATGGCTACTCCAAAGCAGAAGCCCCAGGAGTCTCCCCCTCTCCGTGCAGCCCACCATGCTCTCTTTTCCCCCTAACAAGGTCCTGTGTCCTGTTACTAACTCAATCCTCAAAACTTTGAAACCTAGGAAATGACCTTAGGTAGAGCATATAGAATGTAGAGCGCAGTCCAGATCTAAGGACAAAACCTGAAGGAAAGAACTCAAACTTAGAACTTTTAAGAGCAGGAGGAGGCAAAGACCAGATGCTTTGGTGAAAAACTGAAGAAATTCCAGAAGTCCAAAGGAATGTCTGCTATCAAGGGCCAGGGAGGCCAAAGGGGCTTACCTTCCCTTGCTTCCCAAAGCACATTCCCATCCAAAGAAGAACATTTCCAACCTATGGAAAACAAATCTGCCTGGACTTCACTGGCAGCTGAGACATTCTGGAAAATGACAAAGCAGATGACAGGCAAATGCTTTGAAAGAAGTCCTGTTTCCAAAGGTCGCTACTGTGCCCGCCAAATCAAGCTAGAAAAGCTTCCTCTGTGGTCACCAGTTGTCAGGAAGAAACTGAGCAATGGTGAAGTATAGGAGCTAATAAAAACCAATGACAGGGGCCAGGGTTGTGGCTCAGTGGTAGAGCACTTGCCTAGCGCGAGTGAGGCACGGGTTTGATCCCCAGCACCACATAAAAATAAACAAAACAAAAATGGAAAAAAAAATCAACAGGTGAGAAAGCCATTAGAGGGTCTCCATTTTTTTCCATTAAGAACCATCCAAGAAATCTGATGAAGGTAGAATAATAGATAATAGTGACACCCAAAGAATAAAAAGGAAGGTGAATTGGTCAAAGTCATCTCATTATGTCATGAAGCTTTTGTCCTAATATCTTTGGTGTGCTACCCAAAATTTCAAACACCTAACTTGGCTCAGTAAAAGAAAGGATGGCAACCAGACATTCACTCACAAACATGCAGCTCAACCCAAGGCCTGTTTCCCAACTGAAAAATTGGAAAATTCTGGGCTGGGGATATAGCTCAGTTGGTGGAGTGCTTGCCTTACATGCACAAGGCCCTGGGTTCAATCCCCAGCATCACACAAACACACACACACACACACAAAAAAAAAAAAAAAAAAAAAAAGGAAAATTCTGGAACATACACTTTAGTATTCCAACATCATTTCTCTCCATGGCAACTCAAAAGCATCTCCATTAAAGGAAAAATTATCAAGGTCATTCACTCATTCATTCACTCATTCCATCAAAACTTGAGTCCCTCCCAGATAGTGTCCTCTAGAAAATTTATGGGTATAACCTCCTCAATCCCTCATCTCAAAAGTACTGTGCCATGGTACACACCTGTAATCCCAGTGACTCAGGATGCTAAGGCAAGAGAATCGGAAAGTCAAAGCCCACCTCAGCAACTTAGTGAGACTGTCTCAAGATAAAAAGATAAAAAGGGTTGAGGATGTGGCTCAGTGTTGGAGCACACACGAAGCATTAGAAAGATTCTGGGTTCAATTCCCTGAACACATAAAAATACATACACAAAAGGAGAAAAGCAGAGGACTCAAACTTCCCAATTTTACAATTTATTACAAAGGTCCAGTAAACCAGGCAGTAAGACACAAATACAACAGATTGATGGAGATAGATCTGAGTCCAGAAATAAACTCACTTTTTTGATCAACTGATTTTCAATAAGGGATGGGTGCCAAAATAATTCAGTGGGGTAAAGAATGACCTTTTCAACATATGGTGCTGAGACAAATGGACATCCACATGCAAAAGAATGAAGGTGGAACCCTACCTCACACCATGTACAAAAATTACCTAAAAAATGGATCAAAGCCAGGCATGATAGCACATGCCTGTAATCCCGGTGGCTCAGGAGACTGAGACAGGAGGATCATGAGTTCAAAGCCAGCCTCAGCAAAAATAAGATGCCAAGAAACTCAGTGAGACCCTGTATCCTAATAAAATACAAAACAGGACTGGGGATGTGGCTCAGTGGCCCAGTGCCCCTGAGTTCAATACCTGGTACCAA